ATGAGTGACCATTTGACATTTAACAATAAACAACAGAACGTAACAAATACAAAAATTTATAATAATTTTAACTAAAAGCTGTTAAAGGCCAAAACGTCAAAAGATTTTATTAAGATGGTAGAGAGACAAAAAAAAATATAAATAAATTAAATTTAAAAAAATAAAACAAAATAACGTGTTTCTATATTAACATACATAAATAAATTTTATAAATTTTATTTGCTGTATGTTCAAACATTACTACTTCAAAACAAATTTCTTGCAACATTTTTTAAATTAAAAATTTAAAAAATTTAAAAAAAATTAAGCTTCGACCGTGACAGGACTCGAACCTGCAATCTTCGGATTCGAAGTCCGACGCCTTATCCATTAGGCCCACACGGTCCTTGTGTTTTAACATCTAAGTTTGTTTAATATAAAACGCAAATTTTCATTAATTTCATGTAACTTGGTTAACAAGGGATGCTTTTCATTACAACTGACGAGAATTGTACGATGTTAGAAAAAACTACCCTTAATGATGTTATTAACAGATGCGCATGCATCAATCCCCTATAGAATGAAATACATACATACATATACTAGACATCTGTATCATACTCTTAATAGGAACAGTAACCCGGTAGGAAAATTTAGAATTATATTTTGTTTTTTAAAACCTAAAACCTTTCCGGTTTAAGTTTTAATCATTTTTTCAGTTTTCTTTATATATTTTTCTCTTACTAACACTCCCTTTAATGACCAGTTTATGATTTTTTGCAAAAAGTTGAAACAGAGTAAAAATGCTGAAAAGTAACTAATCATACTTTCAAGGTAAACTACAATTTGTATTTGAAACTATTAATTAATGCCAATACCAGGCCAGTCAGAGGTACCACACCAGCAGCAAAATCTAAATAGTACATGTGTCATAAATATCAAGATTTTTTAATTTATGTTATTTATATTTTAACAAAATAAACCTTTGAACAAAATAAAGAATAAATTCAAGATCTAATAATTGTAATTTTAAAATTAAAATCTATAATTTTATAAAATGTTTACATAATAATAACTAAAATAGTAAAATAAAGCATAAAGGTCAAAGGAAAATCCCATGAACAATTCAATATCGTTATATAGAACAGAATATTTTTTCTTTACACTAAATAATTTGAATCAAACACATATTTAATTTAATATTAAAATAATTTTTTTTAGAAACTTCAATACCTCCTCCTTCACCCGGTATCGAACCTGGTATTTCAAAATTAAAGGTTTTGTAAGTTGGAACTTTAGCCTCTAGGCTACCGCAAGCATTACCTTACACTGCCAATTAAACTAAAGGGTATACTCTATTCGGCCTGGATTTTGAAAACTTTAGTTTATTTTACATTATTTAATTTTTCAACGAATTCCCAAATGACTTGTTTATCATTGACTTTTAAATAAGAAAAGCCACAAAAGAATTGAACCACCATAAATGATTCATCAACACAATGTTTGTTTTTGCAGTAAATAATTAATTGTTTGTGTATTAAATTGAAATTAATTAAATGTAAGTTTTTAAACTGTATTATAGAAATGTCAAACAGAAATATACATATAACGGGTTTTTTCAACAAGAAATATATAATTTCTAATGTTTTTAAATCAAAACGAAAAAAAAGCCCAGAAATTTTTTAAACAAGTTCTAGAACGAGTGCAAACAGAAGCACTTCAGATACTCGATTAGTATTCATGGAACTGGTATGTCGCCATTACTTCCAGTAAGAAGTTTAGTTAGTTAGTTAGTTAGTTAGTTAGATTAGATAGTTAGTTAGTTAGTTAGTTAGTTAGTTAGGTAGTTAGTTAGTTAGTTAGTTAGTTAGTTAGTTAGTTAGTTAGTTAGTAGTTAGTTAGTTAGTTAGTTAGTTAGTTAGTAGTTAGTTAGTATTAGTTAGTTAGTTAGTTAGTAGTTAGTTAGTTAGTTAGTTAGTTAGTAGTTAGTAGTTAGTTAGTTAGTTAGTTAGTAGTTAGTTAGGTTAGTTAGTAGTAGTTAGTTAGCTTAGTTAGTTAGTTAGTTAGTTAGTTAGTTAGTTAGTTAGTTAGTTAGTTAGTAGTTAGTTAGTTAGTTAGTTAGTTAGTTAGTTAGTTAGTAGTAGTAGTTAGTTAGTTAGTTAGTTAGTTAGTTAGTTAGTTAGTTAGTTAGTTAGTTAGTTAGTTAGTTAGTAGTAGTTAGTTAGTAGTTAGTTCGTTAGTTAGTTAGTTAGTTAGTTAGTTAGTTAGTTAGTAGTTAGTTAGTTAGTTAGTAGTTAGTTAGTTAGTTAGTTAGTTAGTTAGTTAGTTAGTTAGTTAGTTAGTTAGTTAGTTAGTTAGTAGTTAGTAGTAGTTAGTTAGTTAGTTAGTTAGTTAGTTAGTTAGTTCGTTAGTTAGTTAGTTAGTTAGTTAGTTAGTTAGTAGTTAGTTAGTTAGTTAGTTAGTTAGTTAGTTAGTAGTAGTTAGTAGTTAGTAGTTAGTTAGTTAGTTAGTTAGTTAGTTAGTTAGTTAGTTAGTTAGTTAGTTAGTTAGTTAGTTAGTTTAGTTAGTTAGTTAGTTAGTTAGTTAGTTAGTTAGTTAGTTAGTTAGTTAGTTAGTTAGTTAGTTAGTTAGTAGTTAGTTAGTTAGTTCGTTAGTTAGTTAGTTAGTTAGTTAGTTAGTTAGTTAGTTAGTTAGTTAGTTAGTATGTTAGTTAGTTAGTTAGTTAGTTAGTTAGTTAGTAGTTAGTTAGTTAGTTAGTTAGTTAGTTAGTTAGTTAGTTAGTAGTTAGTTAGTAGTTAGTTAGTTAGTTAGTTAGTTAGTTAGTTAGTTAGTTAGTAGTTAGTTAGTTAGTTAGTTAGTTAGTTAGTAGTTAGTTAGTTAGTTAGTTAGTTAGTTAGTTAGTTAGTTAGTAGTTAGTTAGTAGTTAGTTAGTTAGTTAGTTAGTTAGTTAGTAGTTAGTTAGTAGTTTCATATTTTTTCAGGATTCATATTTACGGAATCTTGTATATGTTGGGATGGAGTCACTAGAGCAGGATGTAGAGTGAAGCAGTAGTGTATGGTATTTTCTTCACCCACATACCTATGGATGTGTCCGAAAGATCTGTGTGATCTGGGTTAAATCGTGATGGATGTTCTGTATTCCTGTGCTTGTGTTATTAATAAAGTTTCCTCTTTGTTCGATAATGTTTCGGGTGTTTAGTACCAGACCTACCGCAGTGTATCCCCTATGTGTATGAAGCTTATTGATGAAGATCGTATTCGGTCTACTAAATTCATTCCTGCAGTGTGGTTTAGTTTATTGTTGAGAAATGTGATATGAAAATTGCCGGACTATAATTTCAGATACTGAGTAAATGAATTCTTGTACATGGATCAGCGTCAGTAATGATCACTTCAGGAATTTGTGCATTCATTCCACCCAAAATTACAAAGCTAGATCTTGGATCTTGAAATTTCACAATGACCCAGATTATATTACAACAAATCAATCTGTTAGTGATGAGTCTAAAGCTCACGTACAGAATCAACAAACTAACAGGTTTTATTTGAATTTTGTTCTAATTTGCGTAAAAATAGTCATTAAACTCGTTAAAGTTCAATTACCCGATTTATTGGTTCAAATAAAAACGTTTTATTACAAAATATCTGTAATTAATTTATGCGATTTTTGATGAAAAATACGCATAAACGATAAAAAGCAAGTCACTTTCTTATTATAACAGTTTTCTGATCTTCTTTTACTTTGAAGCACTTGAAATAGGGGTCAACTGGGTCCCGATAATTATGAAAGTGGTGTAGGGTATAAAAAATTATAAGTTAAAAATATTAAGGTTAGGGTTCAACAAAATCAACTTTTTTTCTCTCAATAAAGTCCATAAATCGACTAACTTTTACGATAAAAAGTCGAATAATCGATTATGTATTGTACATGAAAGTTGGAATGTCGCAAACAGCCGATATTATTAAGTTCAAAAAGTCAACAATTTCAAAATTTTAAATAGTCGAATAATGGACTTTTCATAAATTCAAATTTTCGACTTTTTGTTTCAACAATAAAATCCCAATATGCAACCTTTTAAACTACCAATCAATGTTGTGGTTAAGACAGTGAAACACTTATTGCAAATTCTTTAGCAATCGGCACCATAGTGTTCTGTTGCATGCACTCTATGTGTGAGTTCAACAGCAGCCAAAGGTTTAACCAGTCAGTCAGTTAGTTTACCCCATAGTGCTATCAACCTCTATAAATGAATGCATTAAGTGAACATGCTTTCGGTGCAATAATACTCAATCACTAGAACTATTAAGTCCTTGAATACAAAAAAAGGGAATGTATCGTGTTGCAAGGCACAACGGTAACAACAACTGCAAAACAAAAACAAAAGTTAAGCTTTAAAATAACACCCAGCCAGGCAGTCAGACATACAGACAGTCGGTTATTCAAACGTCTCCATGGCATGACATTACCAACTTTTTCACTTTAAGCCATATTACACAAAAGCTTAAAAAGATAAACTTTTCGAACAGACAAAACAGAAGAACACGAACTCTATTTTGAGTGGTTTTTAATCTAAAAGAACCTGAATTTGAACAAAGGTAACCAGCACCAGCAGCAACTAAAGCAATTGTATAATAAAAATATTCGTAATAATAAATTTAAAATCAGTTTATCAACAGCTTTAAGCAATTTTAATGCGTTGGTACGCGAACCAAAAGCCAAAAGTCGCAAAAAATCTGAAATAATAAAAAAACTAGACTTGCAACACTTAACTTGAGATATTATTTTTTCAATTATTTTCTGATTTTTTCTTAATGTTTATTTATTTACATATTCGATACCATAATTTTTATTTTAAACCTAATGTATTTTATATTAAGCTCCTCCTGCCCACCTCTCAATCCCACAAACTGTTGATAACTCTTTTTCTCTCACTGTGTTGATCACTCTCGTACATTTAAAAGCAGTTGTTTATGTTTTATTTTTTTTTCTTTCTTCTTCTTTTTATATCTTTGCAGAGCCAATAACTATTTTTTGTTTGGAATTTTTAATAATATTATTTTTCAACCATACCAACAACAGCAACAAAATTGGTAATTTTACGAATTCGCTTTTTTTTACCAGTTAAGCAGTAACTTGGCTGATTTGGCCGTTTGTTTGTGATCGTGTGTTGTGTTTGTGTGTAACCGTGGGATATAGAGAGAGATGTCTAACATAAGACATCGCCCTCTGGCCCCACCGGGTACGGGCGACAGTGATGACAACTTTACAGATGATGAGAGTACACCATTGACACAAGATATTTATGGCGGAAGGTGAGTAGAAGAAAAAAACAATAATATGATATGGCACACATATATGTGTGCATATGTATGTACATATGTATTTGTGTACAAAAATTTATTATTTAACCATTTAAGTAAGATTGGATTTTAAAGGAATTATTCATTTAATGTTAACATTTTTAAAGTCTCTACACGGTATCGTTGCCCTAAATTGACTGTATTCTAGAATATAACCTAGAATATTCCTAACTATAGATTGGACTATGGGCTACAGTATAGACTAGATTACAAACCAACTTTTAAAATATATTATAAACTACACTATGAACGAGACCATAGACTAGACTATAGACTAGACTATAGACTAGACTATAGACTAGACAATAGACTAGACTATAGACTAGACTATAGACTAGACTATAGACTAGACTATAGACTAGACTATAGACTAGACTATAGACTAGACTAGACTAGACTAGACTATAGACTAGACTATAGACTAGACTGTAGACTAGACTATAGACTAGACTATAGACTAGACTATAGACTAGACTATAGACTAGACTATAGACTAGACTATAGACTAGACTATAGACTAGACTCTAGACTAGACTATAGACTAGACTATAGACTAGACTAGACTAGACTATAGACTAGACTAGACTATAGACTAGACTATAGACTAGACTATAGACTAGACTATAGACTAGACTATAGACTAGACTATAGACTAGACTATAGACTAGACTATAGACTAGACTATAGACTAGACTATAGACTAGACTATAGACTAGACTATAGACTAGACTATAGACTAGACTATGGACTAGACTATAGACTAGACTATAGATTAGACTATAGACTAGACTATAGATTAGACTATAGATTAGACTATAGACTAGACTATAGACTAGACTATAGACTAGACTATAGACTAGACTATAGACTAGACTATAGACTAGACTATAGACTAGACTATAGACTAGACTATAGACTAGACTATAGACTAGACTATAGACTAGACTATAGACTAGACTATAGACTAGACTATAGACTAGACTATAGACTAGACTATAGACTAGACTATAGACTAGACTAGACTATAGACCTAGACTATAGACTAGACTATAGACTAGACTATAGACTAGACTATAGACTAGACTATAGACTAGACTATAGACTAGACTATAGACTAGACTATAGACTAGACTATAGACTAGACTATAGACTAGACTATAGACTAGACTATAGACTAGACTATAGACTAGACTATAGACTAGACTATAGACTAGACTATAGACTAGACTATAGACTAGACTATAGACTAGACTATAGACTAGACTATAGACTAGACTATAGACTAGACTATAGACTAGACTATAGACTAGACTATAGACTAGACTATAGACTAGACTATAGACTAGACTATAGACTAGACTATAGACTAACTATAGACTAGACTATAGACTAGACTATAGACTAGACTATAGACTAGACTAGACTAGACTATAGACTAGACTATAGACTAGACTATAGACTAGACTATAGACTAGACTATAGACGACTATAGACTAGACTATAGACTAGACTATAGACTAGACTATAGACTAGACTATAGACTAGACTATAGACTAGACTATAGACTAGACTATAGACTAGACTATAGACTAGACTATAGACTAGACTAGACTAGACTATAGACTAGACTAGACTATAGACTAGACTATAGACTAGACTATAGACTAGACTATAGACTAGACTATAGACTAGAATATAGACTAGACTATAGACTAGCCTATAGACTAGCCTATAGACTAGACTATAGACTAGACTATAGACTAGACTATAGACTAGACTATAGACTAGACTATAGACTAGACTATAGACAAGACTATAGACTAGACTATAGACTAGACTATAGACTAGACTATAGACTAGACTATAGACTAGACTATAGACTAGGCTATAGACTAGACTATAGACTAGACTATAGACTAGACTATAGACTAGACTATAGACTAGACTATAGACTAGACTATAGACTAGACTATAGACTAGACTATAGACTAGACTATAGACTAGACTATAGACTAGACTATAGACAAGACTATAAACTAGACTATAGACTGGACTATAGACTAGACTATAGACTAGACTATAGACTAGACTATAGACTCGACTATAGACTGGACTATAGACTAGACTATAGACTAGATTATAGACTAGACTGTAGACTGGACTTCAGATCAGACCTAGGCTAGAGTTTCCTAAGTATCATGAAGAATGTTTTCTAATAGTGTGATCAATAATACTAAGCACTTTCAAGAGTTAAAAATAGCAGTCACATAAAGAGTATGATAGCATTACTTTTCAGCTTAAAGACCCTTGCAATATATTAAAAAAGATGTTTCTATTTTCGTATAAGTAGTAGATATCCATAGTAATTTTATTAATTTTTCCAAGATATCTCTTGCAAATCTACAACATTTTCATACAATGTTGTCGTGTATTTTCTTTATACAATGAAAAAAAAAAAACTACGCAAAAATTATACTTTATGCGAAATTTCTTTCATGGCCTTAAGTAACCAAGTCAGGAACAATAAGTACTGTAGGAGGAAAAGAAACTATACTTTAGACATAGACTTTGTCTACACGTTTTATCAACCTCAAAACATCTTCTGTAAACATATAAATCAAACATTTTTAAAAACAAATCGTTAAAAATGTTTTTAATAAATGATTGTTGAAAGCGTCATTTGATACTACTAAAATTACAGCAGTAGCAGCAACAGGCAGCAGTTGTTGTTTAATTTCTTTCAATTTGATTGATGATTTAATAAAAAACCAAGCAATTTTATTGTTACATATGCATATTTTTATATACTGTTCCAAACTTTAAATAATTATTTATTCTTATGAAATTTTTATCTTTTTACATGATATTTTTTTAAACAAGCTGCGACGACCATCCCATGTTGGAGTTTATGATTATAAAATGAATATTTAAATTTAATTGCTTTTCTATCATGATTAAAAGTTAACCAAAGACCCCAAGAAATGGAAATAAATAGTTATGTATCTTTAGCTTTAATTTGAGGTTATGACATTTTGAGGTTATTTAGTTAAATATGGTTTATGGAAGGTGTTTGAACAGCTTCCAAATGTATAATTAATGTTTGGTAGCTTTGAAATTTAATGACTGAATGTCAAATGTTTAAAATAATTAAGAAATTTTTCTGATTTTTGTGGTCTGGCATGTTTTTTTCTCACGCTTTATTAGTTTCAACTTTACTTATTACAAATATTAGTTCAGGTTGATAAATTCTCGATTAAATAATGACCTATAACTATAAATTCATATAAAAATACAAATTTGTAGTCCGTTCTACTTTTACAAAACAGATTACATACCACTAAATCTGACATTCCGTTAAGATAATATTGGAAATGTTACCTATTATTTTCTCTTTAACAGATCTTAAACAGCACTATATAATCTGGGGTCATAGGTACTTTATATTTTCTAAAACTTATTAATATCATACGAGTACCTCTGAGAATCTGTTGAGATAATGTTGACATACTATCTCCAAATCGAATTCCGAGCCATATTTATATATTAGCCCAAACTTTATTATTCTGTATGTTACAAAATCCAGGTACAGCCAGTACATCCTAACTTTCATTAACTCGCAAAAAAAATATTTTATAATAATTATCCATTACTTTGCACTGTACTACTTGTCTGTTGATATATAGATACTATATATATTCCATATTTATCATGAAGTGTAAATACTACGCACTCTTCAAACAGTCTTTCGGATCGAAGATTTTCAACCCTATTGAGGAACTTAATTGCATATTGTTACATTATAATATATCGTTGCCGGAAAAGGGGTTATAACTATCATTGTCTTTAAGGAAATCAAGAATCGAGCCAACTTCGGAGATACTATTCTGAAGGGAATTTTATTTCAGCGAGAGCATTATTTATCGATCGAGTTAGTTAGTTAGTTAGTTAGTTAGTTAGTTAGTTAGTTAGTTTCGTTCGTTAGTTCGTTAGTTAGTTAGTTAGTTAGTTAGTTAGTTCGTTAGTTAGTTAGTTCGTTCGTTAGTTCGTTGTTCGTTCGTTGTTCGTTAGTTAGTTCGTTCGTTCGTTCGTTCGTTCGTTCGTTCGTTCGTTCTTCGTTCGTTCTTGTTAGTTCGTTCGTTTCGTTCGTTCGTTCGTTCGTTAGTTTCTTAGTTCGTTCGTTCGTTCGTTCGTTTCGTTCGTTCGTTCGTTCGTTCGTTCGTTCGTTCGTTCGTTCGTTCGTTCGTTCGTTCGTTCGTTCGTTTCGTTTCGTTCGTTCTCGTTCGTTCGTTCGTTCGTTCGTTCGTTCGTTCGTTCGTTCGTTCGTTCGTTTTCGTTCGTTCGTTCGTTCGTTCGTTCGTTCGTTCGTTCGTTCGTTGTTCGTTCGTTCGTTCGTTTCGTTCGTTCGTTCGTTCGTTCGTTCGTTCGTTGTTCGTTCGTTCGTTCGTTTCGTTCGTTCGTTCGTTCGTTCGTTCGTTCGTTCGTTGTTCGTTCGTTTTTCGTTCGTTCGTTTTCGTTTTCGTTCGTTCGTTTTTCGTTCGTTCGTTCGTTTTCGTTCGTTCGTTTTCGTTCGTTCTTCGTTCGTCGTTCGTTCGTTCGTTCGTTCGTTCGTTCGTTCGTTCGTTCGTTCGTTCGTTCGTTCGTTCGTTCGTTCGTTCGTTTCGTTCGTTCGTTCGTTCGTTCGTTCGTTCGTTCGTTCGTTCGTTCGTTCGTTCGTTCGTTCGTGTTCGTTCGTTCGTTCGTTCGTTCTTCGTTTCGTTCGTTCGTTCGTTCGTTCGTTCGTTCGTTCGTTCGTTCGTTCGTTCGTTCGTGTTCGTTCGTTCGTTCGTTTTCGTTGTTCGTTCGTTCGTTCGTTCGTTCGTTCGTCGTTCGTTCGTTCGTTCGTTCGTTCGTTCGTTCGTTTTCGTTCGTTCGTTCGTTCCTTTTGGGCCCCTTCTCGCTTGTTTGCAACCAGTTGTGTTCGGTTAAGTCGCTTGCGATCGTCTGGCTTGATTTAAGCAGATTTATAAATGGGATACATCTGGTCCCACGTACTTATTTGGATTGTTAACCATACTTCTTATAAGTTTTATTACTTTTCGACCTGTTCCAATAGCTGCTTTCCTCATCGACTGTAACAATTCAATATATTTCAATGTCATAGGAATAAAAACTAATCCGTACTCCAAACAAGTATGTTGTTAGCATATATTCGTAGCTTAAATTGAACCCGGATCTTACAAATTTAAACTTAAAAGTGTCGAATTAGTTTATATCCATACAATTAAACTACTTTTGAAATAGTTTATCCACATAGTCCTATTTACATATAAAAATTTGTATGATCATTATAAAAACTACGAACCATTTTCAACAACATTTCGACCAATATTTTACGAGTATTTTAATCTTTTTCTCTACAAATCAGTATTTTTGTTTGGCAAAACAAATTGCTTATACAATTACATCAACACAGATGTAGATTTTATTGTTTAAAGCTTCGAGATAATTAGGTGTGGCTTAATAATATTTTTTTTTTTTTAAATATATGTATAGATTTTTGTTCTGCTATTTTTAAAAACAAATTGTTTTTGTTGTATAATTATAACATACAAGAATGACGGAAGTAGTAGAAATTTTATTCTAGTTCTTATACTCGAATTGGCTTTGGAAGTAAAAATTTCATAATAATTTTTAGGAAGGTCGTAGGAAATATGTTATTTTCCAATTTTTAGAAAAATAGTTTATAATACTTTGAAATTCTAAAAATTCCTGTAAAAATTTTCTTGGTTCTATACATTTTTCCATTTGGACTGTGCGAAGATAAATCAGTTATTCATTACACTGTTAGAAGATATTCGTACATAATCAGATTGAATATTGATTATCTTGTTCATCTCATTACTTATCTACTTACAAACTGCTTATTTTTCCTGCTTGAAATATATTTCATAATAATTGTATGTTTTCTCTTTTGCAGCCAACGTACTATACAGGAAACAAAAGGCTGGGATGTATTCAGAGATCCACCCATTAAAATAGAAACGGGCTCAACGGCAAATCAAGAATGTCTAGAATTAACTGTAAAAATTTTAAAAATTTTCGCCTATATCTTTACGTTTATAATCGTATTGCTGGGCGGTGTGGTGGCAAAAGGCTGTGTATTATTTATGACATCACAAATCCGTAAAGATAAGAGAATAGAATACTGTAATAAAGATTTAGTAAGTACAAACCGATAAAGAAACTCTTTTTAGTAAAAAAATAACCGTTAACATTTCCCCTCTCTCCCTACAGGGTCGTGATAAAACTTTTGTGGTTAAATTACCCGAAGAAGAACGTATAGCCTGGATCTGGGCTTTAATTATAGCCTTCTCTATACCCGAATTGGGTTCTCTTATACGTTCGGCTCGTATTTGTTTTTTCAAAACTTTTAAAGTTCCCAAGACGGGTCATTTTCTATTCATGTTTATTATGGAATCTTTAAATACTTTCGGCACGGCTCTGCTAATGTTTGTTGTTTTGCCTCAATTGGATGCCATCCAGGGAGCCATGTTAACGAATTGTTTATGTGTTATTCCCGGTATTTTGGGCTTGATGTCGCGCACCAGTAAAGAGGGCAAACGTTTTGCCAAAATGTTAATTGATTTAGTGGCAGTAGCTGCCCAGGTGACTGGTTTTGTTATATGGCCTCTATTGGAGAATCGTAAAGAATTATGGGTCATACCAGTGGCTTGTCTAATGGTCTCGTGTGGCTGGTGGGAAAATTATGTTACTTCACAATCTTCCTTTGCCTTAATCAGATCTATGGGTAGAGTTAAGGATGATTTAAAATATACCCGATATTTCAGTCATATGTTTTTGTCTATATGGAAAATTTCCTTGTTCCTGTGTTCTGTGTTGTTAATCTATTGGATTCAGGGTGAGGAACCAGGCAATATTTTCGGTTTATTCAGTGATGCCTTTGGACCTCATAAGATTTCTGTAGATGAATTGGCTACCGCTTTGACCAACAGTTTACCCGATACCCTAGATGCCGCCAATATAGATAGTATTGATATCGAGGCTTCCTATAATACAGTGATCTATGTTTTACTGATCCAAATATTCGGCGCTTATCTTTGTTATATTTTCGGCAAATTCGCTTGTAAGATTTTAATTCAAGGTTTCAGTTATGCCTTCCCGGTCAGTTTGACCGTGCCCGTTGCTGTGTCTTTGTTGATAGCGGCTTGCGGTATTAGGATCGATGATCCCTGCTTCTTCCACGATACCATACCAGATTACTTGTTCTTTACAAGTCCCTCGAACTTTAGATTTAATGATTTTGTTACTAATCAAATGGCTTGGGCTTGGATCTTATGGTTATTGTCACAGACCTGGATTGGCTTACATATATGGACACCCAAATGTGAACGTTTAGCCACCACAGAGAAATTATTTGTAAAACCCATGTATTGCTCTCTGCTGATCGATCAATCTATGGCCATGAATAGAAGAAGAGATGATCAGGCGGATGTTAAAACTGAGGTAACTAAGGAATTGTCCTTATTAATTAATAACTTAATTAAACAAAGTTTAAACTATTTATAGGATCTCTCGGAAATTGAAAAGGAAAAGGGTGATGAATACTATGAAACCATTTCCGTACACACCGATGGCTCGGCTATACAAAGTAAACCCACCATTAAGTCTTCCGATCATATAACCAGAATCTATTCCTGCGCTACTATGTGGCATGAAACAAAAGATGAGATGATAGAGTTTTTAAAGAGTATCATGCGTATGGATGAAGATCAGTGTGCTCGTAGAGTGGCTCAGAAATATCTGAGAATTGTTGATCCCGATTATTATGAATTTGAGAGTAAGTAGTGTTTTATTGAACCCCTAGGAAATAACATTAATTTCCCATTTCCCTCAACAGCTCACACTTTCTTCGATGATGCTTTTGAAATTTCCGATCACAGTGATGACGATATCCAAGTAAATCGTTTCGTCAAACTTTTGGTAGCTACTATGGATGATGCCGCCTCGGAAATCCATCAGACCAGAATACGTTTACGTCCGCCTAAGAAATATCCCACACCCTATGGTGGTCGTTTGGTTTGGACTCTGCCCGGTAAAACGAAATTTATTGCTCACTTAAAAGACAAAGATCGTATTCGTCATCGTAAACGTTGGTCTCAAGTCATGTACATGTACTATCTGTTGGGTCATCGTCTCATGGAACTGCCTATACCCGTGGATCGTAAAGATACCATAGCCGAAAATACTTATCTCTTGACTTTGGATGGTGATATTGATTTTAAACCAAATGCTGTCACTTTACTGGTGGATTTGATGAAGAAAAACAAGAATTTAGGTGCTGCCTGTGGTCGCATTCATCCTGTGGGCTCTGGTCCCATGGTGTGGTATCAGCTGTTCGAATATGCTATAGGTCATTGGCTGCAAAAGGCCACCGAACATATGATTGGTTGTGTACTTTGTAGTCCCGGTTGTTTCTCACTTTTCCGTGGCAAAGCCTTGATGGACGATAATGTTATGAAGAAATATACCACGCAATCCGATGAAGCTCGTCATTATGTACAATACGATCAGGGAGAAGATCGTTGGTTGTGTACTTTGCTTTTGCAGCGTGGTTATCGTGTCGAATATTCAGCTGCCTCCGATGCCTACACTCACTGTCCCGAAGGTTTCAATGAATTCTACAATCAACGTCGTCGCTGGGTACCCTCCACCATTGCCAATATTATGGATTTGCTAGGCGATGCCAAACGTACGATTAAGATTAATGACAACATTTCACTGCTCTATATCTTCTATCAAATGATGTTAATGGGTGGTACTATTCTTGGACCTGGTACGATTTTCCTTATGTTGGTGGGTGCTTTTGTGGCTGCCTTCCGTATCGACAATTGGACTTCTTTCCATTATAATATCATTCCGATTTTGGGCTTTATGTTTATCTGTTTCACCTGTAAGGCCAATATACAACTGTTTGTGGCTCAAGTTCTGTCAACGGCATATGCTCTCATTATGATGGCTGTCATTGTGGGTACAGCTTTGCAGTTAGGCGAGGATGGTATAGGTTCTCCGTCGGCCATTTTCTTGATATCCATGGTGGGGTCGTTCTTTATAGCGGCGTGTCTTCATCCGCAGGAGTTTTGGTGTATATCGGCGGGTCTCATTTATTTACTGTCCATACCTTCTATGTACTTGTTGTTGATTTTGTATTCCATCATTAACTTGAATGTCGTATCCTGGGGTACTCGAGAGGTAGTGGCTAAGAAAACTAAGAAAGAAATGGAGGCAGAAAAGAAGGCTGCCGAAGAAGCTGCCAAGAAAGCTAAACAAAAGAGTATGCTGGGCTTCTTACAAGGTGGTGTGGGCAACAATGGCGATGAGGAAGGTTCTGTGGAATTCTCTTTAGCGGGTCTATTCCGTTGTATCTTCTGTACGCATGGCAAAACTTCCGATGAAAAACAACAGCTCACCACTATAGCCGAATCTTTGGATACTATCAAAAATCGCATTGACAGCATAGAACAGACCATTAATCCCCACGATCAACATTCACATCGTCATGGACGCAGACGTACTACTTCTAGTGGTTCAAAAGATCATCATTTACTCTCCTCGGTGGCTGAGAAGTCTGGGGATGAATCTGAAGAATCTGATACTGACACTTCTGTCGAGCCAAAACAAGAAAGAGATTTCCTTACCAATCCCTATTGGATTGAAGATCCCGATTTACGTAAGGGTGAGGTAGACTTTTTGTCTAGTGCAGAGTTGCAATTCTGGAAAGATTTAATTGACAAATATCTCTTCCCCATCGATAATGATCCTGTGGAACAGGTAAGATTGTTTGTTATGGTTTAGAAAGGAAATTCTAAAATTTTTGTAGGAATTTCCGAGAATTTTGACATAAAATGTGGATTTATACATCGTACTTTTGTCAATTTTATTAATATTTTACATATTCTTTTACAGCTGGAATAAGATTAGAGAATGAAATTGGGAATTTTCAAATCCCCACTTTAAATAGTTCCAAGTGTTTGTTTAATATCCGATATAAATAGGATAGTATTTTGGAATGGACTGCAAGGTCCAATGTTTGGAATCAGGCGATTTCTTGGTCCAAAACTATGTATAAGGGTTTAAAAATTTAAAATAACTTTAGAAGAGTTAAAAAACTTGGGCATGAGTAGAATTATGTTTCAAAATTAGCTTATAATTACAAAACTTTCTAATACTAGAATATTATTTATCTCCAACCGGTTCAAAATTTCCTTTAATGAGTTTAACTTACTCAAGAGCAGGGACGTCTTTGAAAACAGCAGTCAAGTTGTTGTTATTTGTAAAATCTTGGAGAACAGGGAGTAAATAGGGGGATAAATTTAAGAAGGAGCAGGGAGTGTTAAATATAAATACGAAATTTGTACTTTTAATATTCAGAAGGCGTAAACTTTCCAGAATTTTTAGAAATCAGACTAATCGTTAACAGATTTTATATATATATTTACATTCAGATACATTTTAAGGAAAAGGTCTCATGAAAAATAAATCATCTGTAGTTTGGAAACTAGAAATATAAACTACCACTCCCGGTCTGGAATGGCTACACTAGGCTTAATCATATCTCTTAAACACTTACACCACTAACCTTTCTATAAATTCTACACTTTTTTAGGCGAGAATTGCTAAAGATCTTAAAGAATTGCGTGACTCATCGGTATTTTTCTTCTTTATGGTAAATGCTCTATTCGTATTAATTGTATTCTTATTGCAATTGAACAAGGATAATATACACGTTAAATGGCCCTTTGGTGTACGCACAAATATAACGTACGATGAATCCACACAAGAGGTAAATTTTTACAAGGGATTTCAACGAGCTAAACGTCTAAATTTTTTAAGGTCTCAACACACACATACATAAAGTAATAGATCTAGCGTGATAGGTATAAAAGACGTTTACTGGGCGAAATCCCTTTTGAACAAAACATACTAACCTATTATTTTTTTCTCTTTTTTCTTTTTTTTCTGGTATAAAAATTTGCCAAAAAAACCAAAAATTATCAAAATTTCATCTTGAATTTAAAAAAATCGTTAAAAATGTTATATGCTTTATGCCTTGATGTGCTGCTGACTGTGAAATTCGTTAAAAACTGATAAACGTACTCATTATTGTAACATATTTAAAAAAAAAAAAAAAATAAAAAATCATTTCTACATTTTGCTTACAAATGTTAAATCAGGCTCGTATTGCCGCCGATCTAATAGAATTGAGGAACAAGTCGGTCTTCGCCTTTTTCATGGCCAATGCCTTGTTTGTCTTGATTGTATTTCTACTGCAATTGAACAAGGATAAATTACATATTGTTTGGCCACTGGGTGTCAAAACCAATATAACCTACATTGAAGAAACTTCCGAGGTTTTTATACAAAATTTATTTACCAAAAAATATATATTGTTTTTTTTCATGTGTTTTGTTGTGTTAAATAAACCTGTGTTCTTCCTATTTTAATCTTCCTCCCACACACACAAAAAAAATAAATATAAAATATCCTTGCTCGCCTTACTACTTAATTAATTAATTTACTATTCTTCTACTCACAATTTAATTGTTTAACTGTGTATTTTAACTATCAACAAAATTATTTAATTAATTTATTACCCTCCCCTTCTTAAAACATACAAATCTAAATCAGTGGTCGGCTCAAAAGGGAACAAGCCGTTAACACTAAAACATAAAATGGTTCACCACACAGCTTTATGGAAAGCTAACAAGCTAGAGTTGCTACTATTTGCTGAGCCTTTGCTTGTTTTGTGTACATGTGTATGTATGTATATGTAAATAATCGTAAATCTCGGCCTCTGGTGTCTATGGTGGCCGACTACTGATTTTAACACATTATATACTGGGTAACTTTTGTATTAAAAAAAACCTTAAAAAACACATTTTATACAGTTTTTAATAATTTCATATTAAAAATTCTGTTCATATAATTTTGACACACACTGTTTTGCATCATTTCCTCCTTTTAAATATCCCTCCAATCAATACTGTCAATTCAATATTCGTTGTGTTTCGTTTTGGGTGTTTTTATTGTTATTATTACAAAACTAACACTGTTATTGTGTTCTTGTATTTCTTTAATTTATTTGTTTATTTATACATTTGTTTTATCTGTGTACATTTGTTAATAAATAATGTTTGAATGTTTTATTGTTAAATAATTAATACTTATTGTTTAAAAATACTTTTAACATAATACTTATTTATAATAATGGACTATATATAGACTGGAAACAGGGTTGCATTTGCCGGGAAATAATGTAAATATACTTTTAACAATACTAGAGTTCGCCCAGCGGTCGAAATTCGACCAGAACCTATGCTGGAAAAAACGCATAAATATGCTAAAATAAAACCCTATTTTTTGTAGTTAAAATCTGCTGTAAAAAATTAACTTTATTGATATTATCAAAGTGTATAATTTGCTTCGACTAATGTTTTATTTTAGAAAATGTGATGGGTTTTTGGTAAAAGTACCATCAGAAGTTTAAAACCACAATTGTCAAAATTAGTTATAAAACTTGTTTACAAAAGTATTTCAACTATTTAAAAAATAATAAATAACGAACATTTCTTCTATCGACTTTTTATCCCCTACATATTTACGCTACGTTCACAATGCTGGAGTACTCTATTGTACGCACCATTAAAGATATGTTAGCTGTTCAAAATACAGAGTGGAAATGTTCTAAATAATTTGTCAAGACAATAAAAATATTTAAAATAAATAATGTATTATCTAATTATAAATAAATTTTATTTGGATGTCATTAGTAGTCCTTCCATCAAGTATATGCTGTATAAATTCTCCCTTATAACACTCGACAAAGACTTCAGCAGACCTACATTTATTAAATAAACGATAAATTGCTAAGTACGGTGAAACACTCTTCATCCCAAAAGACATGATTTATATATAGCAGTTTTATCTATTTGTATATAGCATATAACCATCACCTATTCAACTTACAGTTTTCACTTTACACTACTATTTCCTAATTGGTTAGAATAACCCAAAAAAGAAGAATATCATCAAATCCTCGCTGTGCTAAACCTGCATATAAGCGATATACCTATCCATTTATTGCGGTGTATCATGTACCGGCATGACGAACTAAACTTTCTTACATATATTTTATACAGGCTTTTTTATTACTTACTGACACTGAATCAATTCGTTAATCCATCATTTAAATCTTATAGTTTTCCGATCTTTGTTTTTAAAATATTCTACGGTCGTTAAAAAGTTAGGGAATTGAAAATTCGTTAATGTAACCGATATTTGTCATTACTTTACGATATCAATACTTAAAATTAAAACAATTACTGAATTCCGGTACTGATGTCCTACCAATATTTTTCCAGGTCAAACATCAATATCAGTACATTTTTTGGCATATCTTGAGGTGTCCCCAAGCATTATTTACACATGTTTTTATATTCGCAGTTCGTTGTTTCCTCAGGAAAGTCCTTCAATTTAATTATTTTGAAAAGTTTAAATAACGAAAAACCTTCAATCGAAAACTCTAAATATAAAACTGAAGTCCTACTTCTTATAAAAATATTCGATTTGGTAACAATCGTAACGATGTTATAACAAAATAGATCATTATCTCATTCACAATTTAGCACTTTACACAAAAATATAAAACAATAAAATTATATTTTCGCATTGCCTGAGCCTGTTTACATACTTATTTGTTTACAAAAATCTTATTAAAAACAACAAAAACAAATATCATGCAAAATACAAAAAGAAAACAGCAACAGAGAGTTAAACGTTTCTGCACTCTCCTCTCTCTTTTCAAAAAGCCGTGTTGTTTACTTTTTTGTTTTGTTTCTTGCTTTGTTTGTTTGTTTTTAATTTCAAGAATACGTACGTGTGACTATTGTTTCTATGTATTAGTAACAACTTTAAACGCTTATAGCTCCTAAAATTCTGAACCGATCTCATTAATATATATATTGTGCACATCTGTGAACAGATACCTTTAAAATGATATATTTTTTGCCAAGATCAGATGTATACGGTAAGAGTAAAAGGGGTCACAAAAAATCGTCTTGCCTATTAATTATATAGATATTAAAATGCAACTGTGTATTGTAAATTGACATTTTAATGACATACATATGTGTGTTTATAAACACAAATAACAGGCATGGAAAATTTAAGTTTTAAAATTGTACTAACTAATAGAAAAAGAACACTTTTTATGTTTTAAAGAATTAAAGACTAGACTATAGACTAGGTTATTTACTAGACTACCGACTAGAATCAAGACTATATTCTAGACTATAGACTAGACTATAGACTAGACAATAGACTAGACTATAGACTAGACTATAGACTAGACTATAGACTAGACTATAGACTAGACTATAGACTAGACTATAGACTAGACTATAGACTAGACTATAGACTAGAGACTAGACTATAGGCTAGACTATAGACTAGACTATAGACTAGACTATAGACTAGACTATAGACTAGACTATAGACTAGACTATAGACTAGAATATAGACTAAACTATAGACTAGACTATAGACTAGACTATAGGCTAGACTATAGGCTAGACTATAGACTACACTATAGGCTAGACTATAGACAAGACTATAGACTAGACTATAGACCAGACTATAGACTAGACTATAGACTAGACTATAGGCTAGACTGTAGACTAGACTATAGACTAGACTATAGGCTAGACTATAGACTAGACTATAGGCTAGACTATAGACTAGACTATAGACTAGACAATAGACTAGACTATAGACTAGACTATAGACTAGACTATAGACCAGACTATAGACCAGACTATAGACTAGACTATAGACTAGACTATAGACTAGACTATAGGCTAGACTATAGGCTAGACTATAGACTAGACTATAGGCTAGACTATAGACTAGACTATAGGCTAGACTATAGGCTAGACTATAGGCTAGACTATAGGCTAGACTATAGGCTAGACAGATGGACAGAATGGACCTAAAAGTGGCAAGTTTTACGAGTACAAATTGCAACATTGCTTCAAGTCTATTTATAGTCCACAAATTAAAATTAAATAGACTTATATTTTTGAAATTTCTTTATAATCCGAATTTTTAATCAACTGACTTTATATAAAATTCAGTTACAAAGCATGCTAATAATAAAATTATTTAATGCTTACTTCCAATTTTAAACTCTGACTTCCAAAAACATATATTTAATGCAAAAAACATTCATCATTTTTTATACAGAAAACAACAACATCAGATCTATCATATTCATCTATTATATTATTAAAAACATAAAAAAACAAAATAAACATTTTCTTGGAGCTTAACACGCTCTACATATCCCAAACTCCTCTCTCATATAAGAAATCTATTCTCGATCATTTTACATTACAAAACTACTCTAAGTTGTGGTTTCTACAGAACTCATACAACATTTATCTGGGAAACTGGGAGAGTGTTACAAGAAATAATATAAAAAGAAATCTGTCAGCACCCTTCAGTAAATTCAATCAGAAAACAAGCATTAAATATCACCTACACATGGCACATAAAAATGTTCAAATTTTAAACTTTCATGGTCTCATGTGAAACATATTTGTACTATTAAAACTTTTGTAACTAACTTCTCTTGTCTTTAACATTAACAATTTTCCAAAAATATTAACTTAAATTTGTTATTTCTTTAATTATTCTAACAAAAATAGGTTCATATATCGAAAGAATATCTACAATTGGAACCGATTGGTTTGGTGTTTGTGTTCTTCTTTGCCTTGATTTTGGTCATACAATTTACGGCCATGTTGTTCCATCGTTTCGGTACTTTGTCCCACATTTTGGCTTCGACCGAATTGAATTTCTTTAAAAAGAAATCGGAAGATCTTTCGCAAGATGCACTGATAGATAAGGTATGTATTCCTAGATGGAACTACATATATTTTTGGAAATTACTTTGACAAATAAAATTCAATTCCAATTTTTAGCATGCCGTCGAAATAGTTAAAAATCTACAACGACTGCAGGGCATAGATGGAGATTATGACAATGATTCGGGTAGTGGTCCCGATCGTATTGCTAGACGTAAGACTATACAAAATCTGGAGAAAGCAAGGCAACCTCGTCGTCAAATTGGTACTTTGGATGTGGCCTTTAAGAAACGTTTTATGAAATTGACCGCTGAAGCTGAAAATAATCCTTGTATGTTTAAGACTCTTGTTCAAATCGTAATTTATGGAATTTAATTTTCGAAAATTTTGTTTTATAGCTACACCCATTTTAACACGACGCTTGACCATGCGTGCCGAAACTATAAGAGCTTTGGAGGTTCGCAAAAACTCCGTTATGGCTGAGAGAAGAAAATCGGCCATGCAGACTTTGGGAGCCAAAAATGAATATGGCATAGCAGCTGTATCAACTGTAGGTTTCTATTGTGGTATTTAAAGGGGAAATTTTTATGTTAATAACTTTTTCTTGATAATTTCAGTTGAATAATAATGGTGGTATTCCCAATGTCCGTAGCGGTCGTGTCTCCAATGCTGGCATTAATATTAAAGATGTTTTCAATGTAAATGGTGGTCCTTCCGAGGTAAGTTGTATGAAGCAGGTCATATTTGTGTAGTTTTGATGACAAACAATTCATTAAAACATTTTAAAGACAATTTTAATTGATCGCTTATTTAAAAAAATTTTAAAAGTTGTACAATATCTATCACGCACGATGCTTTATCTGCATATACATATACCGAACCCAAAAAGTATAATTAATCATGAAACTTTTAGTTGCTTTTCAAAAACTTGGTTGTAATGAATATTCAGAATATACTACATATTCTCTGATCCATACCCAAAGACTCAATTAATGAGATGGAAAGTTATTCCAAACTTGTCGGTCATACATTAATACTACTAATACTCAGTTCCTGGGAGGTCCACAAAGAATCAATGCACCAAAGGCAGTAGTTAGTTAGTTAGTTAGGTAGTTAGTTAGTTAGTTAGTTAGTTAGTTAGTTAGTTAGTTAGTTAGTAGTTAGTTAGTTAGTTAGTTAGTTAGTTTAGTTAGTTAGTTTAGTTAGTTAGTTAGTTAGTTAGTTAGTTAGTTAGTTAGTTAGTTAGTTAGTTAGTTAGTTAGTTAGTTAGTTAGTTAGTTAGTTAGTTAGTAGTAGTTAGTAGTTAGTTAGTTAGTTAGTTAGTTAGTTAGTTAGTTAGTTAGTTAGTTAGTTAGTTAGTTAGTTAGTAGTTAGTTAGTTAGTTAGTAGTTAGTTAGTTAGTTAGTTAGTTAGTTAGTTAGTTAGTTAGTTAGTTAGTTAGTTAGTTAGTTAGTAGTTAGTTAGTTAGTTAGTTTAGTTAGTTAGTTTAGTTAGTTAGTTAGTAGTTAGTTAGTTAGTTAGTTAGTTAGTTAGTTAGTTAGTTAGTTAGTAGTTAGTTAGTTAGTTAGTTAGTTAGTTAGTTAGTTAGTTAGTTAGTTAGTTAGTTAGTTAGTTAGTTAGTTAGTAGTTAGTAGTTAGTTAGTTAGTTAGTTAGTTAGTTAGTTAGTTAGTTAGTTAGTTAGTTAGTTAGTTAGTTAGTTAGTTAGTTAGTTAGTTAGTTAGTTAGTTAGTTAGTTAGTTAGTTAGTTAGTAGTTAGTTAGTTAGTTAGTTAGTTAGTTAGTTAGTTAGTTAGTTAGTTAGTTAGTTAGTTAGTTAGTTAGTTAGTTAGTTAGTTAGTTAGTTAGTTAGTTAGTTAGTTAGTTAGTTAGTTAGTAGTTAGTTAGTTAGTTAGTTAGTAGTTAGTTAGTTATTAGTTAGTTAGTTAGTTAGTTAGTTAGTAGTTAGTTAGTTAGTAGTTAGTTAGTTAGTTAGTTAGTTAGTTAGTTAGTTAGTAGTTAGTTAGTAGTTAGTTAGTTAGTTAGTTAGTTAGTTAGTTAGTTAGTTAGTTAGTTAGTTAGTGTTAGTTAGTTAGTTAGTTAGTTAGTTAGTTAGTTAGTTAGTTAGTTAGTTAGTTAGTTAGTTAGTTAGTTAGTTAGTTAGTTAGTTAGTTAGTTAGTTAGTTAGTTAGTTAGTTAGTTAGTTAGTTAGTTAGTAGTTAGTTAGTTAGTTAGTTAGTTAGTTAGTTAGTTAGTTAGTTAGTTAGTTAGTTAGTTAGTTAGTTAGTTAGTTAGTTAGTTAGTTAGTTAGTTAGTTAGTTAGTTAGTTAGTTAGTAGTTAGTTAGTTAGTTAGTTAGTTAGTTAGTTAGTTAGTTAGTTAGTTAGTTAGTAGTTAGTTAGTTAGTTAGTTAGTTAGTTAGTTAGTTAGTTAGTTAGTTAGTTAGTTAGTTAGTTAGTTAGTTAGTTAGTTAGTTAGTTAGTTAGTTAGTTAGTTAGTTAGTTAGTTAGTTAGTTAGTTAGTTAGTTAGTTAGTTAGTTAGTTAGTTAGTTAGTTAGTTAGTTAGTTAGTTAGTTAGTTAGTTAGTTAGTTAGTTAGTTAGTTAGTTAGTTAGTTAGTTAGTTAGTTAGTTAGTTAGTTAGTTAGTTAGTTAGTTAGTTAGTTAGTTAGTTAGTTAGTTAGTTAGTTAGTTAGTTAGTTAGTTAGTTAGTTAGTTAGTTAGTTAGTTAGTAGTTAGTTAGTTAGTTAGTTAGTTAGTTAGTTAGTTAGTTAGTTAGTTAGTTAGTAGTTAGTTAGTTAGTTAGTTAGTTAGTTAGTTAGTTAGTTAGTTAGTTAGTTAGTTAGTTAGTTAGTTAGTTAGTAGTTAGTTAGTTAGTTAGTAGTTAGTTAGTTAGTTAGTTAGTTAGTTAGTTAGTTAGTTAGTTAGTTAGTTAGTTAGTTAGTTAGTTAGTTAGTTAGTTAGTTAGTTAGTTAGTTAGTTAGTTAGTTAGTTAGTTAGTTAGTTAGTTAGTTAGTTAGTAGTTAGTTAGTTAGTTAGTTAGTTAGTTAGTTAGTTAGTTAGTATAGTAGTTAGTTAGTTAGTTAGTTAGTTAGTTAGTTAGTTAGTTAGTAGTTAGTTAGTTAGTTAGTTAGTTAGTTAGTTAGTTAGTAGTAGTTAGTTAGTTAGTTAGTTAGTTAGTTAGTTAGTAGTTAGTTAGTTAGTTAGTTAGTTAGTAGTTAGTTAGTTAGTTAGTTAGTTAGTTAGTTAGTTAGTTAGTTAGTTAGTTAGTTAGTTAGTTAGTTAGTTAGTTAGTTAGTTAGTTAGTTAGTTAGTTAGTTAGTTAGTTAGTTAGTTAGTTAGTTAGTTAGTAGTTAGTTAGTTAGTTAGTTAGTTAGTTAGTTAGTTAGTAGTTAGTTAGTTAGTTAGTAGTTAGTTAGTTAGTTAGTTAGTAGTTAGTTAGTTAGTTAGTTAGTTAGTAGTTAGTTAGTTAGTTAGTAGTTAGTTAGTTAGTTAGTTAGTTAGTTAGTTAGTTAGTTAGTTAGTTAGTTAGTTAGTTAGTTAGTTAGTTAGTTAGTTAGTTAGTTAGTTAGTTAGTTAGTTAGTTAGTAGTTAGTTAGTTAGTTAGTTAGTTAGTTAGTTAGTTAGTTAGTAGTTAGTTAGTTAGTTAGTTAGTTAGTTAGTTAGTTAGTTAGTTAGTTAGTTAGTTAGTAGTTAGTTAGTTAGTTAGTTAGTTAGTAGTTAGTTAGTTAGTAGTTAGTTAGTAGTTAGTTAGTTAGTAGTTAGTTAGTTAGTTAGTTAGTTAGTTAGTTAGTTAGTTAGTTAGTTAGTTAGTTAGTTAGTTAGTTAGTAGTTAGTTAGTTAGTCAGGCAGTTAATTAGTAAGGTAGATTGTATACCCTGACATACTTTTCCCGTTTCTCAAATTTTTCGATTTCCTTTAGTTGCAAATTCCCTATACATTCATTTACGTTTTTCTCTTTGTTGTGACAGTCACAGTGACACCCCGGATATAGTATATACTCTTAGGTCGCTTTATATGAAAATTTTGGTGGAAAACCCATATATAGGTATCTATGTAAGAAATTATCGTCCAAAGTCTAGAAACTCAGTTTGCTGCAAGTAGTTAGAATTTTCCAATAAGTGTTCCTGAGGAAAAAAATAGCTGGTATAACATCGCTCCTAAGATATTTCAATCAATTTGGACGGTTGCCTTTCAATTCAGAGAAAGTCTTAAAGCATTTCGCGATCCTTTCCGCGTTCTTCTGAATCTGTTCGCTCAATTTTATATAGTTTATCATTATTTTACTTGTAACCTCTGATTTATTTTTTTTTGAGGAGATTTCTCGTCCTTCTTTCATTATGGTCAGCCCCTAAGATTTTTGTAGTCCTACCCATCGTTCCACTATTCCAAGTGGTCGTATGAGATTCTTTAGTTTATGTTGTTAATCAGCTCGATTTTGTTTTCTTCAGGTTGACAATGGCTCTTTCGTAGCCAATTATCCCTGATTGGCCTGGTACCCACGATGCACTTCTTATTACTGAAAAGGTATACGGTTATGGCTCTCTTACAGTCCAATGCGCGCTTAGATTTAACCTAATCAACTGATATCGCCTTCACTTAAAAATTTACTTGAAAATTGAACAAAATCATTATATTTTCCAGATCTTATATATATAAATCCAGGTATCGAAGCCGGAATCATCACACTGATAGACTATAGTTATTTATCTGTCATTGACCATTACGTTTTGAAAAATATATTTTTATTTCACTTTTCAGCAAATATATGGTTCAAATAATGGCGCCGTTAACCAGGGTTATGAACATGTTAATGAAGATGACGATGGCAATTCTCTCAGATTGACCACTAGAAATCCACCACAAGTTACCTGGGGTACTAATAGCAGCAATACAGGACGCATGTAAACGACAGACAAACGATTCTGTAAAGGACAAAACAAAACACAGTGAAAACAAAAACTATTTTAATTTATGAATAAATTAAGTTTTATTAGAAAGAAAAACATTTTTACTATTATTAAATAATTGATAAGTTCGTTTATAGTTGTCACAACTTTAAAGTCTTCCAATTTCTATATTTTGCAAACTGTTTTTGCTTTTTAAATATTTTCAAACACCCTACTGCCTTCAAAAAATAACTTGACAATAAATTTTAGTATATAAATAATATTTTTTTAATAATAAAATTGTAAATAGTTTTTAAAGTTTTATTTTTTTTAATTTAATCTAAAATCACACAACGAAATATATTTTTGTTTTTTTATAATTATATAAAATATGAATTTGTACTCAAAATATAATTAAGCTAATCACACTGCCGTTAAAATATTATTTCCCTGGAAAAGATTAGCCAAATCTGATTCGTTGCTGAGGGGAAATAGTTTTTTTTTAATAATTTATAAATAAATCAATTTATTAATTAATGTAACTGCAGTTTGTTTTTATATTTGTAATAATATTTTTCTTTTTTATTTTTATAATTGATAAGGCAGTTGCAAATATTTTATTTTGATTTTTTGTTTAACTGTAATTAAAATTTTTAGTAGACATTTTTTGTTTAATAAATGAAAAAATTGTTGCTGTAAAGTTGCCAACAATACCAGTGTAATGATCCTTAAATAAAATACTCATTAGAATGTCAAATTGTATGCAAGGAAAAACAAAACAATTATTAAATTATTTAGTTAAATAAATTGTAATTATTTGTAATTTAAATAAAAATATTAAAATGTATGAATGAATTTTTTATGTTTAGAATATTTAATAAATTTTTTTTTTTAAATTTACTAAAAATTTTTGGTTTCTTTTACAATATTTTTTCAAGATTTAACTAAAAACAGTAAAAAACAATTTGCTATATTCGGCTGTACCGAATCTCATACACCCTTCACCATAGTGTATTAAAAAAATATGTCTGTAGTTTATTACTTTATTAGACTACACTATAGTGTAGCCTATAGTGTCTAGACTATAGTCTAGTCTATAGTCAAGTATGTAGTCTAATCTATAGTCTAGTCTACAGCCTAGTCTATAGTCTAGTCTGCAAGCCTAGTATATAGTCTAGTCTACAGTGTATTCTATAGTGTCTAGACTATACTCTAGTCTATAGTCTAGTCTATAGTCTAGTCTATAGTCTAGTCTATAGTCTAGTCTATAGTCTAGTCTATAGTCTAGTCTATAGTCTAGTCTATAGTCTAGTCTATAGTCTAGTCTATAGTCTAGTCTATAGTCTAGTCTATAGTCTAGTCTATAGTCTAGTCTATAGTCTAGTCTATAGTCTAGTCTATAGTCTAGTCTATAGTCTAGTCTATAGTCTAGTCTATAGTCTAGTCTATAGTCTAGTCTATAGTCTAGTCTATAGTCTAGTCTATAGTCTAGTCTATAGTCTAGTCTATAGTCTAGTCTATAGTCTAGTCTATAGTCTAGTCTATAGTCTAGTCTATAGTCTAGTCTATAGTCTAGTCTATAGTCTAGTCTAGTCTAGTCTATAGTCTAGTCTATAGTCTAGTCTATAGTCTAGTCTATAGTCTAGTCTATAGTCTAGTCTATAGTCTAGTCTATAGTCTAGTCTATAGTCTAGTCTATAGTCTAGTCTATAGTCTAGTCTATAGTCTAGTCTATAGTCTAGTCTATAGTCTAGTCTATAGTCTAGTCTATAGTCTAGTCTATAGTCTAGTCTATAGTCTAGTCTATAGTCTAGTCTATAGTCTAGTCTATAGTCTAGTCTATAGTCTAGTCTATAGTCTAGTCTATAGTCTAGTCTATAGTCTAGTCTATAGTCTAGTCTATAGTCTAGTCTATAGTCTAGTCTATAGTCTAGTCTATAGTCTAGTCTAGTCTATAGTCTAGTCTATAGTCTAGTCTATAGTCTAGTCTATAGTCTAGTCTATAGTCTAGTCTATAGTCTAGTCTATAGTCTAGTCTATAGTCTAGTCTATAGTCTAGTCTATAGTCTAGTCTATAGTCTAGTCTATAGTCTAGTCTATAGTCTAGTCTATAGTCTAGTCTATAGTCTAGTTTATAGTCTAGTCTATAGTCTAGTCTATAGTCTAGTCTATAGTCTAGTCTATAGTCTAGTTTATAGTCTAGTCTATAGTCTAGTCTATAGTCTAGTCTATAGTCTAGTCTATAGTCTAGTCTACCGTTTTGTCTATTGTCTAGTCTACCGTTTAGTCTATTGTCTAGTCTATAGTCTAGTCTATAGTCTAGTCTATAGTCTAGTCTATAGTCTAGTCTATAGTCTAGTCTATAGTCTAGTCTATAGTCTAGTCTATAGTCTAGTCTATAGTCTAGTCTATAGTCTAGTCTATAGTCTAGTCTATAGTCTAGTCTATAGTCTAGTCTATAGTCTAGTCTATAGTCTAGTCTATAGTCTAGTCTATAGTCTAGTCTATAGTCTAGTCTATAGTCTAGTCTATAGTCTAGTCTATAGTCTAGTCTATAGTCTAGTCTATAGTCTAGTCTATAGTCTAGTCTATAGTCTAGTCTATAGTCTAGTCTATAGTCTAGTCTATAGTCTAGTCTATAGTCTAGTCTATAGTCTAGTCTATAGTCTAGTCTATAGTCTAGTCTATAGTCTAGTCTATAGTCTAGTCTATAGTCTAGTCTATAGTCTAGTCTATAGTCTAGTCTATAGTCTAGTCTATAGTCTAGTCTATAGTCTAGTCTATAGTCTAGTCTATAGTCTAGTCTATAGTCTAGTCTATAGTCTAGTCTATAGTCTAGTCTATAGTCTAGTCTATAGTCTAGTCTACTCTATAGTCTAGTATATAGTCTAGTCTATAGTCTAGTCTACCGTTTACCGTTTAGTCTATTGTCTAGTATTTTTAAACTTAAAAAGTACTCCTTTTGTTATAAGTTAGTACTATTTCTAGGTTCAATATTATAAAATATTCATAAAGTAGCTGTTGAAGAACGATTTTCATTCTATCCGGATCCTATATGTCTGATTATATGTTTTTAGGTTCAATTTTGCAGAAAAACAAAAAATACCATTAATGGACGAAAAAGTACCAAAAATCCTAACGTACAGATTTTCATTCACTCTAATGACTATGAATGTTTAATTTTATGTTTCTAGTTTTAATGTAATAGTGAATTCCAATAATCCGGTTTAGTACCTAGAGTCCAGGCTATACGTGCTTAATTTCATGTTTCTAGGTTTAATATTATAGAAAACCCAAAATGTACCTGTTTAAGAACGAAAAAAGAACCATCTCTTAAATACATGTACGAAATTTTTCATAATTTGATTAAAAATTTCATCCAATTGTTGGTGCAACCAAGATCAATAAATGTTCCATAATACTTTTTTGTTTATTTAGTTGAAAGTTTTACAATAATATTTTCTTTTTTGATTAAAATTCAACTAAAATTAAAATATATTTCTTCTAATAATAAAATAAATACATTTACAATATACAATACATACAATCGTTTAGGATATGTATGCATTTATTCCTTTAATATGTTTTTTTTGGTGCTAATACTTTTCTAGGAGAGGGCGTATAAGTACTGGTTTTGGATAGTTGGTATGGGTGAAAAACAAAGGGGGGAGTGTAGGGAAGTTATTGAATATACATAAAATATGTTTGAAATACTAAACAACTACACAAACATTTCATATATACAATATTGATTTTTAAACTAAAAAAAAATTTCAACACTTCCGTTTTTGTTTTCTAGCGGGGCAAAGCGATATTTATAATTTTGACAAACAAATTCCCATCTATGGTTAGCTTAAACTTTAACATGATTGCCTTTTTTGGCTGCAATGGGTAGTTTATCGCCTTCCAAATAAGGATTTACAGCAGCCGGAGCAGCAGAAAGACCATATAGCTTCTTAACGGGAGCATTGGAACTGTCTATGCCATTGTCATTTTGAAATTGATGCATTAGGAATTTTTCCATAGTCGAAGCCATTTCACTATTGCCAGAACTGGTGTCCTGACCAGCGCAATCAAACATATGTTCACTGTCACAGGTGCAATCTTGGGCGGCTTGGTATTCCCGACTGAAGAGAGCAGTATTTTCAAATTTCGAAATACAGCCTTCATCTTCTTCATAACCAAAGGGACAGGGATTGGGTGGATTACAGTAGGCTGGCAAACTGGCATCGGTTTTAATGAGGGTGGGGAAATGATTGGGTGCCTCGCCCATGCCACCCGATACATACTGATGACCCCACAACGAGCTGTGTTGCAAAAATTCTTGATCGCGTATAGAGGGATTTGGACCGCCAGGGAATACATTGCGATATTCATAATCCTCGGGTATATTTTGACTGGAAGAGCGTGACACCATGTCTAAACCTTTAGGCAAATCAGCATCCATATCAAAATAATTGCTTAGAGGATCGTTATCCTTGTCCATGCGATTGAGCAGCTCGGTCAACAGTACATCAGCAAAAATACTTTCCTTGGAAATGGGTGCATAAGCCAAAACACTTTGGCCAGCTGTTAAAGCCATAAGCAAACAAAGAAATTTGCCAGACATATTGTTAGAACCTTTAAAGTAAAAATTAAAATTTATTATTTAAAAACAAAGAAAATCTAAAATAACTAAGATTTATTATTAACTAATTTATATTTTTTGTAATTTTTGCATTAATTTTTATTAAAATTACCTTTTAACTGCAGCAACATTATTTTGTTTCGTTATCTGTATAGTCGTCTATTGATTTTTCTCCGAAAACGTTGAATTCGCCAGCACAACAAGTTGCAGAGTGTTAAAGGTTTTTTTCTCACGTTCTATTACAAAATTACCAAAATATATTAGTATATGTAGTATACTTAAAGGATGCCACTGTTTTGTTTTAGTTAAGTGCTACCCAATACTAGAGGGCACTTTATTGATAAAGCAGTTTTGTAGATAATACGGTTGCTGAAACAGAAAAATATTACAATATTGCTAAAAATTTCTTGTTTAAGTGGTTATTTTAAAATACCCTTATTTCCCTTATTTAATTATCAAGCGATTTAAATGAATGTTAAAACAAGAAAGTAGATTCGGGTATGGCCTTCCATTTGATATCCTACACCAGTTATAAATTTAAAATGAGATTTTTTTACAATGAAACATTTATGTAGAATTTTACTTCGGTTCCGGTATATTTAAACAATTTATTGACTAAAACAAGTTTTCTGAAGAGAAAAGGAAATCCCGCAATACTTAAGAATCCTGAAAATAGTGGTATTTAATTTGTGCCTCCAAAGTAAATCGATGTAGGCTGCACTCAAATCAAATTTCAAATAAATAAAATTCTTAAAAGTATCAACGCATTTCAACAATTTTTTTTAAACTGGTTACCGTTTAGAAATGATACAAAATAATATACAAAATAAGAAAAAGGAAAATAGGGAGAGAGAAGGGGGGAACAGGGAGCACAACCAACGGCAGGGAGGGGCACAGCGAGAAAGGAGAAAAAGAACCGGAAAGGAAAAAACGAAGGGGAGAGGGGAGGGGAGAGGGGGGAGGGGAGACGAAGAGAGAGAAAGAGAGGCCCAGGGGGAAAGACAGAGGGAGAGAGACAGAAGGAGAAGAAAAAGAAGAAGAAAGCGAGCGAGCGAGCGAGCGAGCGAGCGAGCGAGCGAGCGAGCGAGGAGCGAGCGAGCGAGCGAGCGAGCGAGCGAGCGAGCGAGCGAGCGAGCGAGTCGAGCGAGCGAGCGAGCGAGCGAGCGAGCGACGAGCAGAGCTAGCGAGCGAGCGAGCGAAGCGAGCGAGAGACGAGCTAGCGAGCGAGCGAGCGAGCAGCGAGGCGAGCGAAGCGAGCGAGCGAGCGAGCGAGCGAGCGAGCGAGCGAGCGAGCGAGCGAGCGAGCGAGCGCGCGAGCGAGCGAGCGAGCGAGCGAGCGAGCGAGCGAGCGAGCGAGCGAGCGAGCGAGAGAGCGAGAGCGAGCGAGCGAGCGAGCGAGCGAGCGAGCGAGCGAGCGAGCGAGAGCGAGCGAGCGAGCGAGCGAGCGAGCGAGCGGAGCGAGCGAGCGAGGAGCGAGCTAGCGAGCGAGCGAGCGAGAGCGAGCGAGCGAGAGAGCGAGCGAGCGAGCGAGCGAGCGAGCGAGATCTATCATCTATCTATCTATATCTATCTATCTATCTATCTATCTATCTATCTATCTATCTATCTATCTATCTATCTATCTATATCTATCTATCTATCTATCTATCTATCTATCTATCATCTATCTATCTATCTATCTATCTATCTATCTATCTATCTATCTATTTTAAGTTGCCGTCGGTATTTTTATTGTCAACGGTTTCTGTTATTATTTGTCGGCGCAGGACTCTGGCTGTCATGTCTGTCTAATCAAAACAATATAATTTTGTCTGCATCCAAAGTAAATTAATAAAGTAGCGACACGAGTTGTTGTACAACAAACGTCTACAAAAACCACAGGCAATTTGTTTTTGTTCGAAATACTCACTTGTCAAAATTTGTTTACAAAAATGAACCAATAATTAATGGAAAATATGGCATTATTGTTGTACTTTCCAAAAATATGTTGTTATTTATATTAAAAGTCACAGAGTTTTCTTTATTTTTTAAAAATTAGAACATTTTTAAAAATATTATACACTTAAAATACACTTTTTCACATTAAATACAACAAATTACTCAGAAATTTGTACAAAAGCAAGCGTTAAAATGAAAACAAATATGGCAACATAAACATTTTTGACAAGTAAGTCCACAAATAGCAAGTTTAAAAAAAATAGTCAGCTGTTCAAATGAGTCTACTTTATAAATTTACTTTGGTCTGCATCAAATTTTAGCAGAAGTGGAGCAAAAACAATCTTTACGCGCCCTAAAAATAAATTTTTTGTTTTTTTTTTTTTTGCTACAGCATAGTGGAAAATTATTAAAAAAATATATAAAGTTAGTTATAATATAGTTTTAGTTAATAAACAAAGAATGGCAACAAAAGAAAGCACAGCACAAAATTGGAAAAGACCAGATGAGGTGGGTAAACAGTTTTCCAGCTAACGCTAAATTTTAGAATTAATTTACATATTTATATTTTAATACTGTTTTCTTTTGTAGCTCATACGTTTGCAGAGGCTAAAGCAACGCAAGAAACAATTGGCAGCACGTTTTAATTCTAATAATAATAATAACAACAATAATAATAATAATGTAAGGGATGTGGTCACAGAAACAGATAAGGCCACCTTATTGGAGGCAAAAATGGCACAAAAACGTAAAAATCCTTTTGCCAAGTAAGTATTCAGGTAAAGGATAATATTTATTTCATTCTAATTAATATTACTGTTTCATCTCAGAGCTGCAGATAATTCCAAGAAGCCCAAAACAGAAATCAAAGAGGAAAATGACGATTCCTTAATGGGTTTCATTAGTTCTCCTGCCTTGCCAGTACGTGAAGCTTTTGTTAAGGAAACTCCTACCCGTCCTAAACCCGCCAAACTAGTACTACAACCTTTTGATCCTAAGGCCTTCTCCAAACTTCTGCAACAGACTTCTAATGCTGTAATAGCTGGAGCGGAGGACGACGAGGTGGTTGAAGAACAGAATATAACAAAACATTTGCCCATGGATTGGTGCCTGAAGACAAGAGTAAGATTTTTTTGTCGTTCTGAGCTACCAGCCACCCAACTAAAGACCAGTCAAATGGCCAGTGGACTTACTAGTTTTGTGCGTTGTATAGACACACAAACAGAGGGCTGCGGTTTGGACATTTCACCCGCAACCAGATTCAATCAGGCAACTTACTATTGGCAGCATCCTCACATACCCTGGATGACTTTGTTCCCACGCAATTCACGCGACAATACCGGCATTACCCTAGGAGAAAGAGAACGCAAATCTTTGGCAGAAGACTGGGATTATAGTTTTAGAGGTCTATTCCAACTTTTAAGAGCCCGACAGTGTGCCTATTTCTATTTGTGTGCCAATACATTTACTGTGTTATTTCGGGCAGCTGGCACGGGTGGCAGAGCAGAAATACATGCTCTCATGTCGCCCACTACAAGAGGTATGCGCCAGGCTTTAAGGCAAGAAGGTATAGAATATACCATGCCTCTTAAAAAGGATGGCGGGTCAGGTCTAAACAAGTCGGTAGATGGAGAAGACAGTAATAGTAATAACACTTTGCAGAATGGTGAGACCATCAAACTGGAAGATAATGAGGCGGAAAATGAAGGCCAGGAAAAGAATGAGGACGATGAAGACGAAGATGATGATTGGCTGGAAAGTTTAGAAGTGGATGCTAAGGAGATACGTAAAATCCAAACAGCCCATCAGCGTAAAATTAAGGCTCAAGAAATGTCTGAAGATTTCAGTGACAATTCTTTAGTCCTTATTGAAGGTGTGGAGTGTCAGGGTTTCTTTAGCTTCTTGCTGAATGCCAAAAGTACCATAAGCACAGTCGGTCGTTTGGCTGGGGTACCACCCACACTATTGGCACCGGTAGCTTTCCCCAAGGCTACCATGCAGCATTTGAATACCCGCTCTAGCAAAGTGCGCATGGATGGTATAGACTATTTTAGCATAGAGGTGAAGGGGATAATAATGCCTTCATTTCTTCCGTACGTCTGTCAACTACTAGGCGAAACAAAGGACACCTTTAGTGCCACTTTGGCCTCCACTACAAATACGCTGGCCTTTAGCAAGGCCACACAAAAACTTCTGGAAGATTCTGCTGGCCAGAGTCAAACACAAAATGCAGATGATGAAGAACAAAAACCTTCGGAAGATGATAATGAAGCTGGTGAAGTATTTGGTAAAGAGAACTTATCCGATTGTGGTCTACAGGCGTGTGTTGTGGAGAATATGTGCCGTACGGGCCATTTTGCCGTTACACTTTTGGAGCGTGTTTGTTATGATAAAGAATATGGTTATGCTTGGAGCTAGTCATAATCTTTTATACGTATACGATCCTTTTTTAGTGTTTTTTGTATTTATTTTCTGCAATAAAGATTGTCTATATGTATTTTTTTAAAGATCCTGTTCAAATATCTAAAAAGAGAATTTTTTCAATTATGGTTAAAGTGGAAAAATTATAATTTTTTTTTAAAGAATTCCATTTTAAAATTTGTTTACATTGCTATAGTAGGAGTATCGACTCAGAATAACTTCCTATATAATTTTGGACAGTTACACGCATCTCTACTAATCAACCTAAAGCGTCAAAAATATCAATTCCTTCGTACTTTCACAATCAAATTGAAACCCTGATTGAGCTATGTCCCTCCATCTGTCCGTATGTTAATTGAAAATTGAATGACACAGATTTCCTCGTGATTTCTTCTTTAGTTTTATAAAAATTGTCAAATTATTTTTGCAATAAAAATTTTTCTGGAAATTTCTATTTTAAGTTCAATCTTAAAATGTTTAGTAAACACCAACTTTGAATAAAAAATCGGTACATGATTAAATAAAAAGTTATTCCAATTTCATAAAAATTTTAAATTTGTTTTATTTAAAATACAAACTAATCTTATAAACTAACACCTCCCAGAAAAAACTAAATTTTTCCCACTTATCAAACTTTTTTCAATGATCGACAATAATCAATTCATCTATACTCCAGTCCTCGTAAGAGTGATCGGGTAAAAATCGTCTTATAATAATGGGAATCTTTTTCTGTTTCAATTCTTTCATGGCAATCTGCAAAGGATCAGTTTCACCCTCCAATTCCACCATAATAGGAGCACACATAGCTATTTGCAAGGCTCTGGTACCCAAAACACGCGCTCTTTCATATTTAGTCATGTATTTGGTGGTGATACGTTTCGATTTAGGAACACCGCCGCCCGCATTACCAGGTGCTATTATTTCAATATTATCCACTTCCTCCTCTTGGTTAATGTCGTCGATATTGTCTTCCTCATCAACATCATCGAATTCATCACCGCCGACACTGAAGTAAAGAAAAAATGAAAGTCAATCACTTGTAGGAATCACATAAAAACGTGGTGGTTAAACAGTAATTTTTATATGGACATTTTTTATTATTGCTTCCAAGAAAATTTATCAAATTTCTACTTACTCATCATTATCAAAATCTCCATCATCCATATTTGTTAGTTAATTTATTTAAACTTTAGCAAATAATAGAAAATTAATTAATATTAGCGGAGCTAAAAATTTTCTTTTATGAAATTGTGTGCTTCAAAAACATAACAAGCTAAAATGCAGAGTTGTAAATTTTAGTACGAAATTGTGTTAAGGAAAGTTGCCATATTAGAATAAAGTTATAACACAGTGGTTGAAAATAGACAAAAATAGTGGATTAAAATATTTCAGCAAAAACAAAATTCTAAAAGTACTTTTAAAGGAACATTTTTGAGAAATTGTGACATAAAATAAAGTTATAAAATAAAGGCGAATTTTAATTAAGAATTCAGCTTTTGTTAATTTTATGTAGTTTCATGATTTAGATTTTTGTAGCAAAATAATCTAATTACAGTAAATATAATCCTAAATTTAGAAAGTTGAAAAAAGAAATCGCGCTATATATACCAGTCCGATTAAACGATGTTGATTGGACTAGTAATAAATAAATAATTTAATTACTCTACTACTTCCGATAAAAGTTCATTTATTAAAGTGTACATAATTTCAGCAAATAATATGTACATATTTCAGAGCTCTTTCCATTTTCTATTAAAATTTTCTGGCAACACCATTTATATGAAATTCGCAGAACTGATTTTTTTCGAACATTACAAATTTTAAGCGAAATAATAATTTGTGGTGAAATACTAATTAACGGTAATGCATGGCAGAATATCAATAAATCTTTAGCATTATTTTATATAAAGTTCCAAGTTAAGATAGGGCAAAAACATATGTACATGTGTAAAACATAATAATAATTGATGACGTACACGAAGTATTAATCATCAGCACCAGCTGTATCTTTTAAATTATCCGCTTAACCATATGCATTTTAAAGATTTTCCTATTCGCTTTGATCTAATTTTTATTTATTAACATTTTATTTAACTCTAAAATTGTTTTACATGTATTGTTTCCTAATTGTCCAGTTTAATTAAGATTCACACCGTACAATAGCATTTCAATTAAATTCAAAACATAATGAGTATGCCCGGCTTTTTCCATCATAGAGTAGCAGCACAACATCTCAATTTCTTTTTTTAACGACAACTTTTATGACTGCGCATTCCAATTGAGAATTTCTTTCTTGAAAATGTGTGGCCAGATGGTAAGTTTCAAAAAAGTTCGTATTTAAACTTAACATTTTAATATAAATAAAATAATATTGAAATATAATTTCAATGATATTAGTATAAAATAGCTTCATTGTGTATAATATTACTAAAAATTTATTTGTTTAAAGTCTAAATTATTTATTGGTGTCAATTGGGGGAGATACGTTTACAAGTCTATGGCTGCGCTTTTTTATTGCATATTTTTTCACTGTTTTTGTTTTCGTCTCTCAATTAAAAAGTTTGATAGAGATGCCACACTATTATGAGATTTTTATAATCTCCCAAAATGTTTTATTTTAACTATATGTTAACAAAACACCGGAAACGGGATCTAACGGGAAATATTAGCTATGAAAAGTATATTACATATTGTGCGTACTTATTTTCCATAATTTGTGGGTTAAATATTTTTTCATCTCTTCTCCTATTTTAACAAGTAAGAGTGTAATATTCGGCTATACCAAATCTTAGTTTGGTTCTATAGAATATAAATCGACCCTTTTGTTGTTTATTAGCACACTTTGCTCTTTTTTTCTAAATTTTATTACAACAATTTGCTCTTTTTTTAATTTTAAGACCGATTCTTATAAAATTTGACCGATAAAACATATTTATGTCAAATTTCGTTGCTATGTTGGAATTTTTGAAGCAAGTTATAGGAGTTATAGTCATTTTTTGAAGGTAAGGTCCGATCCTTATAAAATTAGGTGGGGTGATTTTAGTTTTTTTTTTTTGCAATTTGGCAGAGATTTTAGTTTATATAAAACTATGTATATGTCGAATTTCGTTGCTATATTGGAATTTTGTAGCAAGTTATGGGCATAAGAGTCTTTTTCTGAGGGGGGCCTTATATCAAGGGTAAGGTCAATTATGGTCCGATCCTTATAAAATTAAGCGGGGAGATTTAAGTTCCCATGAAACTTGTTAGGATAGAATTTCGTTGCTATACTGACATTTTGAAAGGAGTTATGAGCGTTATAGTCATTTTCTAAAGGGTACCTTATATAGGTGAAATCGTGAACCAATATTGTCCATTTTCAATACTAAACAAACTGCATTAACTAAAAGTATTTATGAACTCTGTCGTGTTTTCAACAGACAGACGGACGGACATGGCTAGATCGTCTTAGATAATAATGTCATAGAATATATATACTTTTGTGGGTCTTAGACCAATATTTCTATGTGTTACAAACGGAATGATAAAAACAATATACCCGCCATCGTTTTTGATGGTGGGTATAATAACACTCTGTCAAATTAATTCTAAAGTACTTTTAAAACAACATATTTGGAGTGAAAATATTAAGATTAACTTAATGACGACTGAGGGTTAATGACAGAATAAATATGTATTTGGTTAAACTTTAATCAGGTGAAGTTATTTCAACAGTTACAATTCTTAGAATGGACCAAGATTTAATTTCCAGGGGAACATCAGTACCCTTATTTTCTCTATAGAAACGGAGCCACCTTAATATACATATTTTAATTTAAACAGTAAATTACATTTTATATGTACATATATACATAAGGGTATCATATTTTTACTTGTTAATTAACTTAAAGTAAAACAGAGAAATTGCATAAATAACTACTAATTAAATAAAAACTATAAACATTTCCTTAACACAATTAAAAATCACCCAACCACAACAATCCCATCATCTGGCAACGTTCAATATTTTCCTATCTGTTTTTTTGTTAACTCAACTGCAGGCAAAACAGAGAAAACATGTTTCTCCAATAATTTAGTTTAATTCTTGCTCTCAGATTGAAATGTTCGGTGGTGATTTTGTAACGGTTAGAATATGGTCGAGTGATGATGAATGATTACTAAAAAAATATGGGAAAGAAACAAATTTCGCTTCAATAGCGGTGTGTGCAAATTAATTGAAAAGGTCAACTTAACAATAACAAAAAAATCTGTTTAACAAGAAAAAATTAATCATTAATAAAAATAATAAAAAAAGAAAACGAATAATTCCTACAAAAGCATTAAATTAAGAATAGCAAATTAAAATAACAACACAAAAATTGCTTAAAGTGACCTTAATTAAATAAAATATTTTTTGTTAAAGTGAAAAAAATACATTCAATTTAATGTAAAAAACATGTAAAGTTCTTTTTTTTTTAATTTTCCGTGCACATTTTTATTATTTTATGAAAGAACATTGCAATCAACTAAAACACACTTTGTTTCAAACATAAATAAATTGTATGTATGCAGTTTTTTATAAATTTATTTAAGTTTACATTCTAAAAAATTGTTTGTATTAAGTGCATTATTCTCTGGTTTATAAATAAAAAACAACGTAGCAATAAAACTTGGCAAATAGTTTCTTTTATTATTTTTATACAATTGTATTGAAAAAACTAACAACGGAACAAATTTGCAAACTTGAATTGGATTCCAATATCTACTTGAATTAAATAAAATAACTACAACAGTAACAACTGCAAACTACATTAACAACAAAAAATTGCTATTTGTTTTGTTTTTGTATTTCGATTTCTTTTTGGTACCTGTCTAATACCAGCACTAAATTGTTGTTGTATTAAAATGGAGAAAACGGATATATGGATATTTGGCAACTAGTTAGAGCAACTGACAGACTGACAACAAAACGGGTAAGAAAATATAAGTTTGGGAAAAACAAAAGAAAAATAATAAAAAATTACATAAAATTTGTTGTGTAATTAACTAGGTATAGGTAGTTAGAATTTGGAATAAATGTAGTATTTTATTGTAAAAATTATAAAAATAATGGGCATGTAAAACAATTTTCTAGAGACTTTGTTTTTAAATGGATTCCATTTTGTCCTAATTTTCAATTTAAAGTCTATTCTAAGTCTAGTCTATATTCCAGTCTTGTCTATAATGTGTAGTCCATAGTTTTGTCTACAGTCTAGTTTATAGTCTAGTCTATAGTCTAGTTTATAGTCTAGTTTATAGTCCAGTTTATAGTCTTGTTTATGGTCTAGTTTATAGCCTTGTTTATAGTCTAGTCTATAGTCTAGTTTATACTCTAATCTATAGTCTAGTCTATATTCTAGTCTAGTATATACTCTAGTCTATAGTCTAGTCTATAGTCTAGTCTATAGTCTAGTCTAGTCTATAGTCTAGTCTATAGTCTAGTCTATAGTCTAGTCTATAGCCTAGTCTATAGTCTAGTCTATAGTCTAGTCTATAGTCTAGTCTATAGTCTAGTCTATAGTCTAGTCTATAGTCTAGTCTATAGTCTAGTCTATAGTCTAGTCTATAGTCTAGTCTATAGTCTAGTCTATAGTCTAGTCTATAGTCTAGTCTATAGTCTAGTCTATAGTCTAGTCTATAGTCTAGTCTATAGTCTAGTCTATAGTCTAGTCTATAGTCTAGTCTATAGTCTAGTCTATAGTCTAGTCTATAGTCTAGTCTATAGTCTAGTCTATAGTCTAGTCTATAGTCTAGTCTATAGTCTAGTCTATAGTCTAGTCTATAGTCTAGTCTATAGTCTAGTCTATAGTCTAGTCTATAGTCTAGTCTATAGTCTAGTCTATAGTCTAGTCTATAGTCTAGTCTATAGTCTAGTCTATAGTCTAGTCTATAGTCTAGTCTATAGTCTAGTCTATAGTCTAGTCTATAGTCTAGTCTATAGTCTAGTCTATAGTCTAGTCTATAGTCTAGTCTATAGTCTAGTCTATAGTCTAGTCTATAGTCTAGTCTATAGTCTAGTCTATAGTCTAGTCTAGTCTAGTCTATAGTCTAGTCTATAGTCTAGTCTATAGTCTAGTCTATAGTCTAGTCTATAGTCTAGTCTATAGTCTAGTCTATAGTCTAGTCTATAGTCTAGTCTATAGTCTAGTCTATCTTCTATAGTCTAGTCTATAGTCTAGTCTATAGTCTAGTCTATAGTCTAGTCTATAGTCTAGTCTATAGTCTAGTCTATAGTCTAGTCTATAGTCTAGTCTATAGTCTAGTCTATAGTCTAGTCTATAGTCTAGTCTATAGTCTAGTCTATAGTCTAGTCTATAGTCTAGTCTATAGTCTAGTCTATAGTCATAGTCTAGAGTCTAGTCTATAGTCTAGTATAGTCTAGTCTATAGTCTAGTCTATAGTCTAGTCTATAGTCTAGTCTATAGTCTAGTCTATAGTCTAGTCTATAGTCTAGTCTATAGTCTAGTCTATAGTCTAGTCTATAGTCTAGTCTATAGTCTAGTCTATAGTCTAGTCTATAGGTCTAGTCTATAGTCTAGTCTATAGTCTAGTCTATAGTCTAGTCTATAGTCTAGTCTATAGTCTAGTCTATAGTCTAGTCTATAGTCTAGTCTATAGTCTAGTCTATAGTCTAGTCTATAGTCTAGTCTATAGTCTAGTCTATAGTCTAGTCTATAGTCTAGTCTATAGTCTAGTCTATAGTCTAGTCATAGTCTAGTCTATAGTCTAGTCTATAGTCTAGTCTATAGTCTAGTCTATAGTCTAGTCTATAGTCTAGTCTATAGTCTAGTCTATAGTCTAGTCTATAGTCTAGTCTAGTCTATAGTCTAGTCTATAGTCTAGTCTAGTCTAGTCTAGTCTATAGTCTAGTCTATAGTCTAGTCTATAGTCTAGTCTATAGTCTAGTCTAGTCTATAGTCTAGTCTATAGTCTAGTCTATAGTCTAGTCTATAGTCTAGTCTGTAGTCTAGTCTATAGTCTAGTCTATAGTCTAGTCTATAGTCTAGTCTATAGTCTAGTCTATAGTCTAGTCTATAGTCTAGTATATAGTCTAGTCTATAGTCTAGTCTATAGTCTAGTCTATAGTCTAGTCTATAGTCTAGTCTATAGTCTAGTCTATAGTCTAGTCTATAGTCTAGTCTATAGTCTAGTCTATAGTCTAGTCTATAGTAAACAATAGTTTTTAATTACAACTACTAAGTCGTCAATAAACTATAAATCAAAGAATTTAAAGTGTGCTATTTATTTAGGTTCATCTGTATTGAATCAACATTTTCTTAGAAATTGAGGAATATCGATTTTTTCCTTACAAAGTTGTTTTTTTTATTGGAATTTCCATATAAATTTCTGAATTATAACAATGGATGCGATCTACATACATATATTTAACAATAGAAAACTTCTATGCTTAAGTTATTTTCAATTAAATTTATTTTAAAATTTAATGTATAATTAAATTCAATTTAATTTCTATATTTTTTAATCTCAGTGTTTTTTTTTAATTTTTTCTGTATTGAATTGTAATATGTAATGAGAAAATATGTTTTAAAATTCTGAACTGGATATAACAATATCTTATCAATATTAATACATTGAATAAAAAAAACACTTGTATAAATTAATATTACAGATGCCGTCAGCTATGGAATTTGTTTTGAAATTGTAATATGTTGAAATATTAGAATTTAATTTACTTTTTATTGATTTTCTTATTTAATATTTATAAATATATTTATAATTACATATTCGATATTTATGTTTAACTCCTTATTCATAAACAACGTTTTATTTTATAAAAGGTTTATAAAACAAAATTTCCATACAAAATTTGATTAAACCTTCACGGTCCTTCAATAAAAACCATTGGAAAATTCGTTTATGTACAAGAAATTAATTAATAATTTATTAGATTCATGTGTAACATTTTTTTATGTTTAATAATAAATAACGATACATTACATATTCATGTTTTAAAATACAGGGTAATTGAATAGTAAGTGTCATATAGTAGAGGAACTAATGATTAGAAAACCATTGATATGTAAACAAAATTATGGCAACAGAATACTAACATAGAATAAAAAGATTTTGCTTAAGTCCCCAAAAGAACCTAAGTTCTTTAAATTGGGATATGCTCCGATTGCTATCTAAGGTTACAAGATAACAGATTTTTTCTTCAGTTAATAAAACTGTAAACTAAAGCCCACTTCGAATAGTTTAATCGCCCTACATTACATTTTTTCAAACAGTAATATCCCAGGAAATATTTTAGAACTTGTTCTAAAAATAACTATGTAGTTCTAGAACGAATCGCAACATTGTTGTGGTTCTAAAATACTTCTAAAGAGTTTTCAATGAACTAGTTCTTTGACATTAGTTATACATTGATAAAGAACAGGTTCCGGAACCGTTCCAAAGAACGAGTGTCGACTCCATAACTCTTCCTCAGAACCAGTTCCGAAGTTGACAATTTCGAACAAAAATCATTGGTCTCAACGCCAAAGTAGAACGAGTTCAGGCTATTATCATGTATTCTAGAACTAGTTGTAAAACTAATACAATTTTTGCTGGGATGTATATAATCGAGAGGGCGATATTTGGGCTTTCAATTAAAAGGGATTAATTCTATTTAGAGCGGGTTTTTGAGTTGGGAATTAAAGACCACAGTTTACTATCAAACCAATACAAACATATATGTACATATGTATCACTCGAGAAGTCGGCAAAGTCGAAATGTTGACAATTTTTGAAGGCTATGATCTTATGACAGGGTTTCTCAAAATTGTTCCTTAATATTTGCTGAGATTGCATAGATTGGTCGTGGAAAATGTTGTGTAACTTAGGACCTCAACTACAGTAGAACGCCTCAAATACTTTCTGCACTATTAGAGGGCAATTCCCAATAGACTTTTTCCTACGGGGTTCTCTAAAGACGTCCACTATATCGATATACATACCCTGCAAGCAAATTTGAGTTTAATTTTGGATAAATGAACTAAATTTACACTATTTAGGCTCAACTTCATGTTTCTCAGTGCTAAATAAAAATATTTTCAAAAACTAAATACATTATTTTCTAATTTTTATCCCATTTTTGTAGAATTTAAGTTCGATCTAATATACCAAAAAGAATCGTAAATGATAATAATTAGATAGAATAAAAATGTATAAAAAGAACACTTTTTAATACACTAACAAGATAATTTAAGACAGAATTATTTTTGCTCTCAAAATTTAAAAGAAAAAGTGTTTGTATATTTCAGTAAATATATTAAGTTTATAGTGATCAGTTGTGTGAATAGTAACACATTGTGAAATTTTGTAATGATTTTATTTAAAATTTAATATATAAAAAATAAATTTAATATATAATAAACATAAGTGAGAGATTAGTGAGTATAAACAATTTTAAATTATTCATAAAGTAAGAGAAATAAAGAAAATGTATTATAAAGTCGCTTTTACTACATAAAATAGTGTAAAATTAGACAAATTTCCAGTTTCCCTATTGCTATGGCAAAACTGGAAATTTTACTAATTTAACGCACTTTTATGCTATAAAAAAGTGATTTAAAACTGAAACGAAATCGACTCACTAAGTAAGTATTAAACAGGAGGAACAGTTTCTTACCAACGCGGTCACTTTTCTTCCTTTCAAATTGTGCAATATTAGATGTTTTTTAGATATTTTTACCTACACGTTGTTAAGTTATGGATACTATTTAGATAGCAATTGTTTGCAGGGTTGAGAAGTCGGCAAAGTCGAAATATTGACAATTTTTGAAGGCTATGTTCTTATGACAGGGTCTTTCAAAATTGTTCCTTAATATTTGCTGAGATTGCATAGATTGGTCGTGGAAAATGTTGTGTAACATAGGACCTCAACCACTGTAGAACGCTTCAAATACTTACTGCACTATTAGAGGGCAATTCC